GGGGGGGGGGCAGGAGGGTGGAAATTCTCTCAAAGAGAACCAAATAGATATGGAAGAAAAGAGGTGAAAACCTATCATGTAGGGCTTGTGTGGCTTTAAAATTGTGTACCCCCAGTTATTTGAGTATTCGTTTACCCCCCAATAGAGTCTTCAGGAACTTTAAGCAAAAGTTATCATTTCTCAGATGGGATCAGGGAAAACGTTCCTTTGCTTGTGTACACAACTGCAATGATCAATCATGTCTTCATATCTTTCTCCGTAGTTCAAATATATGATCTTTCATATATTATCTACTGTGTTAAAACTTGTGTAGCATTAATTTTAGCTTTGTATTTCCCACTTGGGTCATTTCAAATTCAAATTCAATTCTTCAAAAAGGTCAACATACTCAGTTATTTGACTTCTATTTGATTATGAATCATGGAGAAATATATCCAATGAAATGAAATAAACATTTTACAACCTTGCAATTAATACTGCAATTTAATACAAGTACAAACCCACAGGCAGAAGTATAGTAACTAACATTGCCCTGCAAAGCAAGCCATTGAACCTAAGAAAGAATTGAGAAAGTAAAAAAAAAAACTTACTTGTCATTTTCCTTTTGACTTGTTTGATCTTGTTTGTTCAGTTTCTTGTTTATTTTTGCCACTGCTGATGCATCTCACATGATAGAAAGGTTTTAAGCAATCAACAGAACAGTTATCAGTCTTCCCTTTGTAGCTCAGAAAGAAAAGAAAACATACAATCAAACGTCCTGTAAGCTCAAACCCCTAGGACCTAAAGGTACACAATGTGTACCTTTTTAAGATGTCATCTTAAAAGGGTGTCCACTTTCGGGAGGCAAAAACAGGCAGCCCTGATGATAACTTCCCATTTCTTCTTCTTTTTTCTACTTTCATGAAGGACCAATCCCTTCCCCAGCAATCAAGAAACTCAGGAAGAGATTGTGCTCGGTGGACCAACTCCCCTGTACATCAGTTCTTACACCAGCTACCCCTAGCACAAAATTCAAGATCCATTCAGTACAGGCAAAACATCCCACGGCCAAACCAATTTTTTCTAATTTTTTTTTTTTTAGGGAGGACCAGACTTTGCTTCACAGACCAAGAAACTCAGGAAGAGAATATATCTCCTGTACAAAGTTCAAGATCCATTTAGCGCAGCAGACAGTCCCATGGCCAAAACATTTTTTCGCTCAATTTTTAGGGAGGACCAGTCTTTGCTTCACAGACCAAGAAACTCAGGAAGAGAATGTGTTTGGTGGACCAACTCCCTTGTGGGTCAGTACTTACACCAGCTATCTCTTGTACAAAGTTCGAGATCCATTTAGCACATGCAGACAGTCCCATGGCTAAACCAGTTTTTTTGCTCAATTTTTAGGGAGGACCAGTCTTTGCTTCACAGACCAAGAAACTCAGGAAGAGAATACATCTCCTGTACAAAGTTCAAGATCCATTCAGCGCAGCAGACAGTCCTATGGCCAAAACAATTTTTTTGCTTAACTTTTGAGGGAGGACCAGTCTTTGCTTCACAGACCAAGAAACTCAGGAAGAGAATGTGCTTGGTGGACCAACTCCCTTGTGGGTCAGTACTTACACCAGCTATCTCTTGTACAAAGTTCAAGATCCATTTAGCCCATGCAGACAGTCTTATGGCCAAAACAGTTTTTCGCTCAATCTATTTTAGGGAGGACCAGTCTTTGCTTTGCAGACCAAGAAACTCAGGAAGAGAATATATCTCCTCTACATAGTTCAAGATCCATTCAGTGCAGCAGACAGTCCTATGGCCAAAACAGTTTTTTGCTTAATTTTTTGGGGAGGACCAGTCTTTACTTCACAGACCACGAAACTCAGGAAGAGAATGTGCTTGGTGGACCAACTCAGTTGTGAGTCAGTACTTACACCAGCTATCTCTTGTACAAAGTTCAAGATCCATTTAGTGCATGCAGACAGTCCCATGGCCAAAACAGTTTTTTTTGCTTAATTTTTTTAGCAGAGACCAGTCTTTGCTTCACAGACCATGAAACTCAGGAAGAGAATGTGCTTGGTGGACCAACTCCCTTGTGGGTCAGTACTTACACCAGCTATCTCTTGTATAAAGTTCAAGATCCATTTAATGCATGCAGACAGTCCCATGGCCAAAACAGTGTTTTAATTATTTTTTTAGGAAGAGACCAGTCTTTGCTTCACAGACCAAGAAACTCAGGAAGAGAATATATCTCCTGTACAAAGTTCAAGATCCATTCAGCACAGCAGACATTCTTATGGCCAAAACAGTTTTTTTGCTCAATTTTTAGGGTGGACCAGTCTTTGCTTCACAGACCAAGAAACTCAGGAAGAGAATGTGCTTGGTGGACCAACTCCCTTGTGGGTCAGTACTTACACCAGTTTTCTCTTGTGGAAAGTTCAAGATCCATTCAGCACATGCAGACATTACCATGGCCAAAACAGTTTTTTCTTAATTTTTTTAGGGAGGCCAGTCCTGGTTTAAAAACAGTTTTAGATGCGCTGTCATTTTCTCATGAAAATTGAAATGAAAAGAAATTTTACTGATTTAAGCTTTATGGCAATGCAAACCATATTGGCAAATGTTTAAATTCCTCTTATGAAGAAAAAGAAAAAATAATAATTTGGATGCAGGAGTTGCTTCACAAATGAAGAAACTTAGGAAGAGATTTTGCTGGGTGGACTAACCTTTTTGTAGGTCAGGTCTTACACCCATCTCTTGTACAAAGCTCAAGATCCATTCAGCGCATGTACATGTAGACAGTCCTGGTTCCTAAACACATTTACACACAGTGAGGTGTTTTACTAATTCGAGCTTCATGTATGCAAACCGCAAAAGTGAATGATGAAATTCCTAAAGTACAAAAAAGGAAAAGAAAATAATTTGGATGTAGAACCAGTCTTTGCTTCACAGATCAAGAAGCTCAGGAAAAGATTTTGCCAGGTGGACCAACCCCTTTGTAGGTCAGGTCTTACACTCACCTCCTGTACAAAGCTCAAGATCCATTCAGCACATGCAAAGAATCCTGTCTCTAAACAAATTTCATATTCAGGCCTATATCTTAAAAGAAGGTATTTTTATGGCTGGATTTGAATGGGAAAATAAGCCTTGCTATCCATTCGTGCTCTAGAGAAAATGTATTTGAATTGCAACTTATTAAAGGTCTTCATATATCCATAAAAAACCCTTCTATAAATTTCCCTTCGAACCGTCATAAAAGCTCGACGTTATAAGCATACTGGCCTTTAAGTTGGCAGCCTGGCCAATTAAAAAATGTTCTTCCCTGTTCTCGTATAACAGAGTCTGGCTATAGTTACGTGTTTTACGATATAAACTCGAAAGGTTTACACGTGGCGTACTCTGTGACCTCTAGGATAAGCTGAATAATAAGCTCAGCGTCTTCCGTGCTCACCTCGTTGAAGCAGTCAACTGACTTTGGCCACTGACACGATGCTTGTTCATGAAAACATCGTCTGGTCGATTCGGTTGACGAATAAAGCTTATAAATAAGCAGCAAATTTAGCAAACCTGTTCACTCGTTGTCCACTCGTCCACATGGTACTGT